TGCACTCTCCACTCCCTCCCCTCTCAACAAACACAGCTGCCTCCCCTGTCCCCACTTCCCAATAGTGCCTGTCCCCCCCATCCACACCCATCCACAGTAAAAACCCCAGTCCAAAACTGAACCCAGCAGTCAGTCAGCTCTTGAAATTCACCCTAGAGTCAAACTGGGAGCCTTTACAAGGAGGCACCCTGGGGCTGGCCCCCCACCACACCACCACTGCACCCCAAGTGTGCCCCTGCTATGCATGCCATGGGCAATGCATGATGAGCTCTTTGTGCAGGTGGAGGAGTGCCCCAGCAGCCACGCTCCACTGATGATGATCCTGCTGGTACCCCAGGCACACCTACGCTCCTGGTTCAGGATCCTGAGCTACAATGGTACGGGGGGCAAGCCTGGCCTGCCCCATAACCTCCACCACCACCTGGAGGGCTACCCGTTGCAGTGCTACACATCCCTGTCCCCTGGGCTGCTGAGGAGGAGATCGCCTCCTGGATCGATGCCTTCGTCATTGCATGAGAGGCCCGTGCCTGCCCAGCCATGGGGACACAGGCTGCTCATGCTCAATAAAGGTCTGACATGTGTGCCCCCTCTCTGCATGCTGTAGGGTGGAACCTGGGGCCAGGGGAATGTGGGCAGACCAGGCAGGGAAGGGGGGCTGGTGCCAGGGCTGGGGCAGGGCCAGGGCCAGGGGTGGGGATGGGCTGGGAGGGCCCACCCACCCTCCACCCCCAGTGCAGGACTTACCACAGGTCTGGGGCTGGTGAGGCTGGATGCTCAGCATGGGGCTCCCTATTGTGGATGGCATCCAGCTCCACTTGGTCTCCATGACACATGGTGTGCAGTAGGCTGCTGTTCAGCCAGGGGGCCCCCTGGGGAGGAACTGGTGCTGCTGATGGCTGGCAGTGGTGTGGCCAGCCACTCCTCATGGGTAGTTGTGGGGCAGGGCTAAGGCCAAGACAGCTGCTGGCCAGGGCTCCCCAGGCTGCCAGTGGGTGCAGCAGCCAGGGAGGAGTGCAGGGCAGGGCATTGAGAAACCAAAGTCCCCTCCTCCAGTGACATGTCACCAGAGGTGTCAGGGTGGGGCATGGGCATGGGCTCCCTGGGCACCAAAATGTGGGTCAGCTCCTACATGAAGGGCATGATCCTGGGGGCCCCAACAAACCAATGATGGTGGTCAGTTACAGCCACCCACTGTGCCTGCAGGTCCTTGACCTTCATGAAGCACTGCCACACTGACCAGGAGTGGCCCTGTGCATACATCCCAAATGCTAGGGCCTCATAAATGTGGGAGTCCGAGTGGCTGCCCTATGTGACCAGCCTTAGGACTTCCTCCCTGCCTGACAGTGCCACAAGATCATACACCTCCTCCCAGGTCCAGTTTAGGCCCCTGGGGCTCTGGATGGATGAGCACACATGGATGGAGCTCAGGCTGGACATGGGGTAGGAGGAGAACATCATGCCCTGTGCCAACTGACTGGGCCCCCTGCTCAGCTGGCCCTGTGATGCCAGCCCCGGAGGGCTGGGAGAAGCAGCCCTGACAGTGGTATGGCCAGGGAGTCTCAACCACATGGTTGAGGCACTTCACTACAATCCTGCAAAAGAGAGAGAGGTGGTGGGGAGCAGCAGTGGGGAGCAGGTGCTGGCCCTGGTGGCACAGCCAGCAGGGCCAGCAGCCCTAGGGGGATCACAGGGCTGGGCAAAGGATACAGCTAGCTCCAGTCTTTGGCAGCACTCACCTGTGGCCAGAGAGCAGCTCAGGACAGCCCAGGCAGACCCAGCCAATGGGTTGTCTGGGGGGCACATGGGGCCTGCTGGGGTACTGTAGCCACAAGCAGCTCCTGCCAGCTCCCTGGAGTGTGTGCCCCCAGGCACAAAATGGTTGCAGGTTTTTATAGCCTGCAGCAAGGGGCTTCCAGAGAGCAGCCTAAGCCAGCAGCAGGAAAGGGGACCAGCCCTTGGTGGGGCTCCAACTGCCCCCTAGTGGCTGGGCAGACCCAGCAGAGAGGCCCCTGGCTTACTGCACAGCAATGTGTGTACACATGTTACTGCACAGTAAGTAGTTGGGTCTAAGTTTGATGTATGTTATCAGAATTGATGCATAATGTAGGTATCAAATTTACACTCAAGTCAGCGTAAGTCGCCATATTTACCGTGTAGTACAGGTGTGCACATGTAGATGCACGCTTGTACTGCACAGTAATTTCAGAGATTTGGTGTAGACATGCCCTTATGTAATTAAGGACAGACTTCTAGTTTATAATTCCTAAACAAAATATACATCATACTTTTTCTCTCAGACAAGAAGAATATATCTAAAAAGCCCATTAAGGTTGATTGTAGGAGTTTAAAAGATAAAAATATATCTTTTTAAAAAAGATATATTTAAAATTTAAATATATCTAAAAAAGATAAAAATATATCTTTTAATATTTAAAAGTTTTTGTTTGTTCAGATGCCACCATTTTACTTGATTCAACACTTTACAATTCTGCCAAGCAACTGTTTCTGTTAACATTACAATATAACAAGCAGTTCAAAAGTAAAACAAAATTAGTGAAAAATTAAAGCTCACTTATCAGAAAGAAAAAATAAGGCTAAAATGAGATATAGAGAGGCATGTCTACAAATGCATTTGATCTGAGATAAGTTTACTTGCAAATAAATTCTTCCAGGCAGGCATCTATACATACAGGGACATGAAAACAGATTTGCTGCTCCTAGCAGCAAACTGCTCCCACTTTCGGTGGCCCCACTATCGGCCCCTGTCACCACCAGAGGGAAGTGAAGGCTCCCCCTGGATCCTAGCCCAGAGACTGGCAGGGAGCACTGGGCCAGGAAACAGCTGTCACCTATCCAAAGCTAGGGAATTGCTTTCTGCTCCCAGGGGCCTGCCTGCTGCCTGGGTGGAGAAAATGTCCCCCTGCCCTGGAAGCAGGGAGCTCCCAGCCCCAGCTCCCTGATTGGGGCAGAGGACTTGGAAAGAGCTGCAGGGGAGGGGCAGGTCCAAGCCCCCTGCTCTGATTCACCCATGGGGCAGCTAGCAGTGAGCCACCAGATGGGCAGGGATTTCAGAGCAGGGAATGGAGCTTCCTGCCGCACAGGATCCAGTGGCAGAGCCCACCCAAGCAGCAGGCAGCTCCTTGGGGCAGGGAGTAATCTCCTACCTCTTGGTGGCCAGCTGACCTGGAGCAGATTTTCTCCCCATCAGGCATCTACAAGGCATCTACAGTATGCACATGCTACTGCCCAGTAACTACTCGTGAGTAAATTTGCTACTTGCATTCTGCAGGTAGCAAATTTACTTGTGATTAGCAAGTTTTACTGCACAGTAAGCATATACATGTGTAGATGCACATGCTTACTGCACAGTAAACTATGCTACTTCTCAGTAAAGCATCTTGTGTAGATGCGCACATGCAGTATAATGGCAAATGTCAATGTAAACCATATTTTAGGTTGTATTTTGTATAGCAATTGAAGTTAAGAGTTGAATCATATTGCTGTATGAGAAATATGTTGTATCTTCCCCATAAGTTTTGGTACATAATATTAGAAGAAGGAATTTTGTTTGAAATTGGCTACAGAGAATTTGTTAACTAGTTTTTGAGTCTCAATAAGTGTCACAACATGACCTAGACATGGGAGAACAGAGCCAAGGGGAGTGTGAGAGCAGAAACTAAGGGTCACAATACTGGGTATTAGTCAGAGCCCAAGGTTCATGCCAGAAAATGAAATAGGTTTGTGGCTGAAGCAGGCTGTTAGCTGAGCCAGGAGGTCCAAGGCAGGAACAAGGTCTGAAAATGCTGTTGCTAGGACCAGGGAAGTGGGAGAGTTTCTCCAGATAACCTCATTCCCCATTGGGAACCTCACGAGAGGGCCCAGGCTGGGCTAGAGCTGGCATTTGGCCAGCTTCTGGGTGGTGCTGTAACCCAGGCCTCAGATGAGAATTCTGGGAAGGAAGATTAAGACTGGCTGGGATCCCACGCTGCAAAACTAGGACTGGCTAAGCAGTGAGACTATAAATGTGATGAGAAATCTGAGCAGTAGATTCTGTGACCAATTGGATAAGGAAAATGGGACTAGGATAACTAGTAAAGACAGGAACAGGATAAGGATCATCTGGAGGGAAAGGAGCAGAAGAGGGCAAGTTTGGTGAGAATAGGCATAAGAATCAGCGCACTTCCCTGGTTGTCTGTATTGTAAAGTAAATAATCCCAATCTTTCCAATCTCTCTATATGAAAGTTTCTCAAGGTCTTTAGTCATTTTCATTACCCTTCCCTGAATCCTCTACAGTCCTGCAATAGCCTTTTAAAGATAAGTTGACAAGAATTGTACACAATATTCCAGATGAGGCCATGCTATTTATTAATATTATTAAAATGATCGGTATTGTGTAATTGTATATTGTAATGTGTTTTATCATTCCTTATGGATTCTAATATTTTCTTTGCCTTCTGAGCACAGGTGCATACTCAGAGCTGTCTACAATGACATCCAGGTTCCCCTTAATTCAGAATCCATAGAGTGTAAGAGTAATTTAAAATTTTCCCTCCATATGAAACTTATTTGCTTTATGTGCCAGCACCATTATTCCATTTTGTTCAGGTGAAGCCAAATCCCTCAATATTAGCTCCTCAACAGGTTCTCCAATGCCTAATAGTTATAAATAGTTTATAGTTATAAACCCCTCTCCTTTTCATCATCTTTCAATCATGCATTGGAAACCCTGAAATATCTCCTGTCCAGCACAGTATTGATTACGTTTTAGAGAAAGCTACTACTGAAGCCGTAAAACTATTCCTTCTACCTAGTAGTGTAAATTTAGCTTCTAGAATACTTCTTCATTTTCCTAGAATACTGGGAGCTACTGGTTTTATAAAAATACTAACTGGATTCTAAAAAGAATATAAAACATACAGGCTATTTTACTATTTTATTTTTTTGTTGTATAAAATAGACAACAGACAACATAGTGGATATTGTAATACATCATGAAAAATACATGCATCAGTTTTTAAAATGTTACATAAACTTCAATAGTTTCTTATTTTCCCATTACTATTTTTACTTATAAATATTCATCAAAAATCTCTCTGTTGCTGAGTAGTCACAAAAGCATATCTAAATAAATCACCAAATGGTACAGCAGTGTTAATATGTTAAAATTAAAGAAACAGTTAACTATCCACTTTAACAACCTAAAAATATTTCAGCAATTCTCAGGCAAAGTAATCCATAGTGTTCTAGTACAATTTTCTGTACTCTAGTACAGCGTTGGTAAAATAATCTGCAAATTTATTTCAGATATGGATGAAGTTGTCTGGTCTTAGCTTTTCTTGAAAGCCCAATCCTGATAGGGCCGTTGCATGTTTTAAGAGGGTGAACTCGTACAATTTCATGTGGCAAATAATATCCTGAATATATATTCAAGAGAGAGAGAGAGAAGTATATAAACAACACAAGCAAAACATGAATATCTAAATCACATTCCTTCAAGACACAGAAATCAACCATGGATATTTTACTGGATATTTAACAGTTAGATATTTTAGAAATGGAACTAGATCCACAAAAGGACTTAGAAGTCACAGTACTGAGAGCTAAGAGATTCTACCTAGCAGAGTCTACAGCCCTAAGGCAGGTGCATAAAGTCCCTGTGCTATGCCAGGGAAAATTCAGACACTTAAGAATAATGAGTCGGAATGCAGAGTGGGGGACCACCTAAACTGGCAAGCAGGATATGCCAGAGAGAGGGGTTTGTTTTAAACTCCACTCTTCTCAAGGATTTAGGTACCTAACTTTAGATTATGCAGAGATGCCTGACTCCACTTGGGATTAATAGCCATAAACCCTCTCTTGAAGTCAAACTACTAAATCCTTTCCCAAAAATATATGGGGATTCAGGATAGCACCCTCTTTTTGTCCAATCTAGTGGTTAGAGTACTCACTATATATTAAGTGTCTGTATATATGTTCTGTACTCCATCAGCAGAGGGTGCTACCTGACCTGCATTATCTTGTGTTACTGTTTGCTGTTCTAATTAGTGTTAATTAGAACTAATTAGTAGTTCACTGTTCGTAATAAAGATGGTTCCCTTGTTCTTCCCTGCATGATCTCTCTGGGGCAAGAATCCCACAGATACACAATACTGGCAAAGAGTACAGGGTCCAGGTGAGTAGGATGTTTCCAGTGCTTCCACCGAGAGAACAGAGGGAAAAACTTTCAGGGATCCATGCTGCAAATAAACAGGGCCTGGGGCTCTTTTCCTCCCATGAGGTGGCCTGTGCAGTTGCTCTCTAGCATGGCTACTTTAGGCTACATTGAAGAATTTTATATTTCCAGTCCATCCACCCAGGACTCTTATGCTGACCAGCTACATTTCTATCTGGAAGCCAGTAAGATTACTCATGATAATCAGAAAAGTGCAGTGTTACTGAGCATCCCTTGAAGACTTTTCAGATTATTTGCTCACTTGTTTCCCCCATCTACTCCCATAACAAGTCCTACCATGAGATCCTTCACTTGCTGTTTAAAAAATCACTTGGCACCAGCCCTGTCCGAAACCATTCACCAGTTCCATTTCAACCAGTGAAATCTGCTGCCAGAGGACAGAATTGCTGCGTCCATAGCAGACTTGGGTTAACTGTCTAAGAGCTTTAATTGTGGTCTGGAGTCTACCCCTACAACATAAACTTCTTGCAAGGCATAACTTAACAATTACCATGGCTCAAGAAAAAACCCTTGCATATGAAGCTGCCTCACTCCATTCAAGGGAAATCTGAACATCATCTGCAAAACTGATGTCAGCTGAGATATACCAAGTGCATTCAAGGGAGAAATGTTCAAGCAGGTAACTCTGTACACTGTTACATGTTGGAGTTCTGCACAACTACTAATGAACCACCAGCTAAAAACTTGTTTGGATCAGCTCCATCCAGATATGGTGCTGAATACCAGATGTGGCAAGAAATCCAGTTCTCCAAGAAATGGTATGTTTTGCCTCTAAGTACCTGTGAACCAGATGAACTTCTGAATATCATAAATTACATGACTGGGCTACAGTGGATGCCTGCATCTACCCTTGGAGTTGCAGAGCCAGTGTCATATAAAATCCAGACTCCAAACTGAAAGACACTTTGCAGGCACTTCGATCAGATGTAGCATCAAGTCTCAGACGATGTGACTTGTGTAGTACCACAAAGTGTTGCACTGCTACTGGAACCTGTTCTGATGAGTCCATTAGCTACTATTTTAGACCCATCAAGATCCCAGTGGCTGGAGCTACTCTAGAACAGCTAAAGTAGCCCATAGTAGTTACCACTGAAACATCTGTTACCCCTTAAGTAGGCTGCATAAGATGGGTCACTGTCTGACCCAAATACTTCTAGGACTATGTTATCTAAGGAGGAGGAATATTATGTACTGGGTGTCTTTATGTATATGTTCTGTACTTCATCAGCAGAGGGCACTGCCCAAACTGCATTATCTTGTGTTGCTGTTTGCTGTTTAGATTAGTGTTAAGGGTAGTTAGTTGTTGTTAATAAACATGGTTGCCTTTTTCTTCCCTGCATGATGTCTCCAGGACAACAGTCCCGTAGGTGCACTATAGTACTCACAAAGGCTATAAGGCAACTGCCTGAAGGGAGATGAACCCATATTTCCTACTTTCCAAGTGAATACTTTACACATGGACTATATAGTATCTGGATGGGGTTTGCTCAGTCTAACTGTTTCACTTTCTATTAAGTTATGAAATATTCAATTTGGCAGGGAAAGAGGAGGAGAGTGAGCACAAACCTATAGACTAGTAGGTAGGGTATTCACATGAAAGGTGTAAATCTGGCTTCCAAAGAATATTTCATTAAATGCTGGAGTAGGGGCTGAGCAGAATTCTGTTTTATCTATTAGAAAACCAAAGTGCAGCTTGAAAGTAATTCTGAGTTAACCAACTAATCTGTAGAAGGGATGCAATTACCCCTTCTTGGCATATAAGTGCCCCATTATAGGAATAGGAAGGTGGCTGTGCTTCCTAGAGGGTGGTCCCAGTTGAAACAGAATTCTGCACCAATTCTTCTCTCATGTGAGTGCCCCAAGAACTAAGCCATAGATGTCAGAAGCTGTACTTTTAAGAGGCTCTCACAAGAGCCAGGTGGAACAGAATGTTGCCTTCTGCAGAGGCTCACATTATTTAATACAGATCACTTAGAAATTTGACACTGATTCAGGTCAGACATCTTGGGCACCTATACACGTGCAGCGAGGCAGCTCTGATGCGCTGTAATTACAGCACATTGGAGCAGACTTGATTAATTAAGTCTGCTGGAGCGTGGTAATTACCATGGTCCAGCAGACTCCAGTATCAAATGTATCTGCATCCCGTGCTGAAAAATGGCAGTAGGGGAACTTTAACTAAAGCTCATTCAAAAAGCTTTAGTTAAAAAGCCCCTGCCAACATTTTTCAGCATGGGAACATTGATACACATGACAATCCAGATGTTTTAATTAGAGCAGCTCCTGAAGCCACTCTAATTAAAGCACCTCTCCCCACCAACTGCTCCCAGAGCATGTGTATAAACTTTCCTTGGGACAGATGCTATTCCATCTGTTAGGCATGTAAGTCCAAAAAAACTGTTAATACAAAAGATAGTTGTGTCCTCCACTTTCTAGCTGCTGTTTTGTGACCCTTTTTAAGGGTCAGATGAATGTGTGTTAAATAAGGAGACACATTAATATTTTTTTAGGGACTTGAGGATGAAATAGGATCACACATTGGGGTACCTAAGTCCAATTCCGCAGCCAATAGATAGCATATGGTACCTTGTTGCTGGGTTGTTTTTTTTCTGAACATATGATACCAGGAATAACATTCAATAAGACAATACTCTGAGTGAAAGAGTATATTCCACATACAATATGAAACATATGAATATACCAAGAGTATAAAAAGAATGTGAAAACATAGAAGAGCTTATAAGTAAAGTAAATATTATAAAAATTGGAAATGTAATTTGTAATGTCATGAAAGAAAAAAGTACCTATTATTGAGTTAAAAGTTTGTCATCTCATTGGTTTCACTGAAAGGATGAGGACACTAGAAGAACAGATGAGACCCACATGCCCATGTAATAGTGTCAGGCAATTCAGAGTCTAATTGTTGATTTTCAGGTTTTTATATATATTTGAAATTCTGTATTAGGTTGATTATTAATTATTATGTTTATGTTTGGCTGGAGAAAATATAGGAAGCACTACCTTTAATAAAAAGTCAGAGCTGGTTATTATTTTGTACAGAGGTCCGTATTACACAATGCTAACCAGTTAGAGCTCATTGGTGCTGAGGTTTTCTGAACACAGAAAACAAAGCAGCATATTGGGCAATAGGAAAGGGCAAGAAGCAGAAAACAAAGTAGCACTTCTAAAAGAATGATACAAGAAAAAAGGACTCCACATTGGATAACAAGGGATGGCTGCATCTTAAAGACTAGTTTGGAAGTTGGAAGATCTGCCTTTAGCTCCTGGATCTAACACAGACTTCCTGTATGATTCAAATTCACTTAATCTCTATATGCATCAGTTCCCATTTTCTATGATGAAAAATATACTCCTACTTCTTGTCATTCTTTTATGTTTAGACTGCAATCTCTCTCTTCCTCTCTGCTGTATGTGTGTGTTTCCAAAGATGCTCTGAATTCAGTGCAGATGATGCTAATGAAGTACAATTATAATAAACTTAAATGAAGTAAAAGATACTCCACACCAATCACTGAAATAGGAAAAGGTATAATCTTCACCATGAAGGTTGTGAGGTTGAGGGGTGCCAAAATTAAAAACCTTTCTATTTTAATTATTAGAATGCAGCCCAAAATTTACCCAGGCATGAATTAAGTATTTGCAAATGAAAAATAATACTGGACAACAACAATAATGCGGAGAAATTGAAAACAAATGCTAAGGTGGATAAAATGAAAATTAATTAAAATAAACATTTAAAAATGCTAATATTGATGTTTATAACTAGCAGAACAATTTTATTCTTACCTCTTTGTTTCTGTAAACTGAAATTTTCTTCCTTAATAAACCAATGAGATGAAAAAGCAGGATTCCATGGGTGCACCTTTTTACAAGCTGAATCAAAATAATTTTAAAACAGAAATGTAAACAAAGCATTGGATTGCTATGTATAGATACATAGATAATTAAAAGTAGCATTTGGTGCTGTTTGTAAACTAGTATGAGAAGTAAAAATACATTTAAATTACACAAATTCTGCTTCTCTAGCATAAGCAGTTCTGTTTATACACTATTCACAGCTTGTTACTCTTTTACTCAGCCTTTTCCAGAAAGACATATAGATAAAAATATTTTACTTCTGTTTCCTAATTTTCACTCATTATTATACACAGAAAACTATACTGAAGGAATGCTATTAAGGCTGTAAAAGCAAACACTCAGAAGTTAGGAAATGCTTGAAGTAAGCCTGCCTGTGCAGCATTTTTTTAGCATATTTGTATATATGAATTATGATACAATCTTTAGTTATGTCATTGCATGCTATTGTCACTACTGAGATTCTGTTTCATTCATTGCATCTGATAGACTGAGCTTAATTAATGAGAAGCTATTCAATATTTTGTTTTATTTTTAAGTGTGATGCATGGCAATAGGGTTTCACATTAGTACCCAAAGGTAGCGTTCACTTCTTTACCAGTCATCTAACTGGGTGGTTTTTGGTCATCTACAGAGAATTTTTAAGATTTATGTGTTTAGGGGAATTTTATTCCTGGTCATGTTTGTGAATGACTGAGCAATTTTGTAGTTGCTCAGACTGAGCACGCACAGTAGTGGCCATAGAGCCTCTTATGGATGCACAGCAGACTTAGACTCCTAAAAATTCCTAGCATCGCACTCTGAATATGATGCTACTGGTCAGCCATTATTCATATCCTTCTCCTTGAGACTGCTCCTTTGACATATTCACTGTGAAGGTATCAATTTCTACAGGAATTGAGGAAGGGTCTTAACAGAGTAGGTTCTCCTTGCTGTGCCCTATAGAAAAATGAGTAGATAATCGTGTAATAAAACATTGTGTATTCAAGCCAGTCCAGAGCTAAGTGTTACAGTGACTACTTTTGTGGGTGTCTGACCTACGGTGCTGCTCCAGAACCATGAGCAGCACCATAGGGACATGGCCAGATGTCCACCCCTGGAGTCTCCCCTTAGTTACACCACTGACCCTTAGTTAAATCGTTCTTACATAGTGCCTCAGAATGAAATCCAAATCAGTAGCTAGCAAGGAGGTAGCCAACAGGAAAGACTAAACACAAGGGGACCTCTGAAATGGCTCAGATTTTTCTTTGAAAATATGACTGAAAGACAGCTAGTAGAGCTGGTATCTACTATTTATATAATAGAGGAATCACTCAGAAATGGGAGACTTGGGCTTTATTCCCTCAGCCTGTGGAGGCTCAAGCCTATATCTCTCAGAAGAGTGCCTCGTAGGCTACAGATTAGTATACTCAGCTGACAGGGAAAGTCCTTGTTTCTAATCCCTATTCAAGGAACATTTTATCCAGTGACCATTTCACATAAAATACAGAAAAAGTCCTTATGGCAGAGACCAAAATGCAAGAATCCCACCTCCCTCTCAGCTGACTGCTCTAATCACCAGGCTGCAGATCCTTTCTTTTCCCCTCTCCAGTCCCCTTCAGTTCCCCTCCCTTTCTTTTCTGCAGTGTTACAAATTCAACAGCAAAGATAGAGAACATTCCTGCCCAACCTACAGCTTAGTAATTAGGAGATTTCTTGGGAGGTGGGATATGTGAACTTTAACCCATGCAAGCCAAGGATGGATCTGAACATAGGATTTATCTTTTCTGAGCAAGTGCACTAATCACAGGGTTACTAACTGAAAGACACCACCACTAGCTGTGTTTTAAAAGAAAGAAGCTCCACCTGCATTGAGTAAGAAACCTGATATCATTGGTATATTTTATACATATATTCAGAATGCCTACTGACTTAAGATCATCGGGAGACTTGGGTAGATGACCATTAGTCTCTGTGTTCTGGTTGGGCTCAGGTGAGACAGGCTCATGGGCAGATGTAGGATTTTGAAAAAGGGAGGGCAGGTGGTGTGAAGAATCATCCTATAACACAATGCATCTGTTTCTCAAATTAAACAGGAACTAGAAGCTTTACTAATATGTTGGGGCCTATTCAGTCCAAGCAAAAACAAGCAAAAAATATATAACTGAGTCTTTGTTATATAATAATATAGCAATATAATTGGGACCTATTCAGTTCAAGCAAAAAACAAATATAACTGAGTCATTATGGGCCTAAGTACCAGCTCTATGGGGCAGGCACCAGGTACCTGAGAGTACAGCTGTTATGCCCCAGCCTCGCCACAGACAGACCTGCTCCCTGCACTTACATACAGGCATACCCTAGACACTTCACTATAGCCTTAGCATACCCTTCCCCCTTTCCTATGCATTGCCCCCACCACCTCAAATGCACCTGGCTCCACTATCCTACATATCCTCAATGCTCAGCCCCATCCCAGTGCCTCAAGCCGTATCTTCTCCCACTATCCCACTCAAGCCCCAGTGAGTCTTACCTGCCCCCTTACTGTCCCCATGAATCCACTACACCCTGCACAGACTCATCCACACTGCGCCCCCTAGCCCAGGGGCGGGCAAAATGCAGCCCACCAGGCCATTCTATCTGGTTCACAGTGCCCCTAAAAAATTTAGAAAATTAGTCTTTATCTGCCCCTGGCTGCCTGTCACGCAGCCCTCAATGGCTTGCTAAAACTCAGTAAGCGGCCCTCTGCCCAAAATAATTGTCCACCCCTGCCCTAGCCCCTCACCCTCTGAGCATTCAATGCTCACTGAAGCCCCTCACACACTCTGGGCCCTACACACCCACAATTCCTCTGCCTCCTGACTCTCCCTTCATGCCCTGTTTCACCCCTACAGGCCACACCACCCTGCTCAGTCCCAAACCTGATCTGCTTCTCACACCTTCTGCTTCCATAACACCCAGACTCTCACTCCACACCCCTCTACCCCATAGGCCCCACTCTCCCCCAAAGCCCGTTAGAGCCCATGACCCCTCATGGCCCCTGGGAACCCTTTTATCTCAAAACTGATCACAAACAGTTCCCCCATTCCTCAGAGCACCCGACCATGGGGCAGGTCAGACAAGGAATGTAACTGCCCTCTGCACTGCTTCCCCACTCCTAACAGCATGGCTGTAGCTGGCCTCCACTGCCCCCCACCCTCAACATACAGAAACAAACAGTTGAGGTCAGGGAAGGACGTGCTTCACCCACTAGCAACACCCCTCCCTGGAGAGACAAACCTCTCTCATCTATTCATGCTCAAAGTCGTGCTGCCCTGGTTATGCCTAAGGTCCTACTCAAACCATGGTTACATGATGTTTGTGGAAACTGTGAAAAACGGTGGTTTCTGCGAACACCATGGAAAACAGCAGTTTCCATGATTTTGTGCAGAATCACTGGGACAAAACTTGTTAAAAGTAAAATGCTTTCCCCCCAGTGGAAGCCAGCAGCTGCTGCGGCCCAGCCTCACAGCTCACAGCCTCCAGCTCGCAGCCTGCAGCCCAGTGGGTGGGGAAGGAAGCTGCTGGCAAGAACAGGAGAAGCCAAGATGGCAGTCACCTCCATCCTCCCTCCGCCACTAATTGGCAGAGAGGGCCGCCTTTCATGAAGACCCACCCCTCTTCACCAGTCAGCAATGAGGGGTGAGGCTGCCTGAAGGGCAGCCTTTTTTACTGATCAGCATCGAGGGGTCGGGCCACACAGAAGACCTTGCTCAGCCAGCAGCAGTGAAGGGCGGGACCACTTCAGTGACACAGGGGCAGTGAAATTGGCTCCAGGCACCACGAATGCTCACAGTTTTTCCTTTGCTTCAGCACAGTCTAAGTAGATCCCTAGTTATACCGCTCTTTCAGCCTCCCGCTGCCTGTGTCATCTGATACATTGAATAACCAAGGAAGGAGTCACTGCAATAATTTACCTCTTCACCGCACATTTACAACTCCCTCCTGCCTTTGACTACTGCATTCTGCACACCTCATCCTGCTTTTAGCCCTGCCTCTCCCTGTCTCTGATCTGTTGTGACTTCAAACCCGCTATGAACAAAGCCACCCAGTGCAGGTTATTAGCACAATTGTATTGGATATGCCGGGGGATGAACAGAGGAACATTACTGGGGGTGGATACCAGACAGAATAACTGTAGAAGAAAGGCTACCTTGATTAGAGGAAGGTGAAAAGTCATTAACACTGATGGAATAAAGAAATTAGCAGAAATCAAATAGATAAGAAGCCATGAAATCATTTGACTCCCTCAGCTCCTCCAGAATAGAAATATGACTCCCCATAGCAGTTTACTCCATACTTTCAGTGGAGCAGGAATCAAAGAGGGATATAGCTTCACCCCCAAGCCTCCCCACTCCCTCCCCCACTCCCCCAATCCACTCCTGCACAGGCCCCAAACTACACATAGTGGAAGCAAAAGACTATTTGCTAGAAAGGTTTAGTTTTAAAAAGAAAGATAGCTAGTTATTTCAGGCAGCAGCCAAGTGGGGCCCAGTTCAATTCCACCTAATTCTTGCTTTAGGTGCCCTTCCTTTGTTGGATCAAGCTCAGTGCCAGATGTCCAAATTAAAGTTTCACAGGAAACTTTAATTCTCACACTTCCTAACTTTTAGCACTTGACTTTGAAGCTTTAATAACATTCTTTGGTCTTATTTTTTTGACTTGTGTATGGGTGCTGGTTTCATTATTTTTACAAAAGCCAACTAAAGCAAAAACAAACAGCTTCCATTATATGGCATTATATTGATATCCACATAGTTCATCAGCACAGTCCACTGCAGAGATCCACTACAGAGGCTTAAGCATTGAAACTAACTGGATGATAACTGCACTCAACCCTCATCATCTGTGTGGACTTGAGTAGGGGGCAAACTTTGCCAGTGGGTTTGATAAGTATCTGCTGACACAGGAATGAAGAGACTCCAGAATCTTTGCTACCATTCCAGGCTCTGGCGGGCTCGTCCTCTACTAGACAAAGGACATTCTGCCCTTTGCCCTCAAGCATTATCCATTCTTCTGTGTTCTCTCCAGCCTGTGCTTGTCCCAGCCTTACTAACACAACAGCTCCTTGTTCTAGTCCCATCCCACTTGCTTGCCAGTCTAACACTTCACTCCTTTGGCTTTTCACCATAGACTCAGTCTTCTTGGCTAGGCACTCCTAGTCTGCTTTTTCAGGCTCAGTGCCCAAATCCTAATTTCTCTTGCAACTTCCCACCTCTCCGCTATCTACGCTTAGACCCATTCTTCCTACCTAGCCCCTTACCCTCACCTGGGTCATTTCAGTATTTCACTGCTGGCTCCCAGTCCAATCCCTCTCTTCCTTACCCACCATGCTGGCTCTCAGAACCAGACTCCCTACCTGGAATCTTTATCCCTTCTCAGTATCCCACAGATACCTGCACAGGTCCAGTAGGGCAAAGACAATTTATGGTACATGGGCTTTCCAGAACGGGCCAAAAAAAATCTTCCTAAACTAGATTAATTTGATGCTATATGATAGTGGGGGAAGCTTCCTGAACCTCTTGTCCCTAGTAACACCCTGATGAAGAGTACAAATGTGGCTGTCAGGTATTTATTAATGTAGTAGATAATATGTTTATAATAATTCCACATGCTTACCTTCGTCAGGTGTGTAAAGCAATTCTTCATCTGGCATATCTGAAGAACAAGATTCATGCTCTTCCTGCCCTCCATTTCTAGCTATTTTTTCCTTCAGTGAACTTTGGTTTTGCTTATTTACATTTTCCCCTGCTATAATAGCACAGACTGGAGAGGAAATGCATACTTTCTTTTGAGAAATGCTTTTAAAATGTTCTTCCATCTCCTCAGAATTATTTAATTCAAAAGAATGTCCTTGTTTGTTTGTTTCTACTTTGGATATATTCTTTTCATTTTCTTTACTAATTTCATGAAATACACAAAGCTCTTCTAACACTAAATCATATTTGCTCTTCAGTTCAAAGTCAGTTATATTTTTTATTTTTGAATCATCTACATCTTCCAAGCATCCGTTGTTCTTTATAGAAAAATGTGTTTTTAATTTTTCTACTGAAGCATGGCATATTTCAGATTCATCCTCTGAATGTGACAAAATTAAGCCAATTGCTGTATTTCCATTCATTTCAGTCTGTTTTTGATTTTTCTGAGTTATGTAATTTTGCTTTGCACTTATTTCTCCCTCCTCATTTAAATATTCAAGATTTTGTGTCATAGTCATTGGCTCTGAATTGAATGTGCCAAAATTACTGTCTGTCTGAATGTCTTCATATAGAGAAAATGTTGTCATTTCCTCCCCCTGAGTTTTAGAGTATAAGTTGTTATCAGATACTGTAGAATTTGTTACAGCTGGGTATTGTACAATACTGTTAATTTCTTCATACTGGATTTTTGTATCTTGACTCAGGGAAATCCTGCATTGACTCTCTCCAGATTTTTTCATTTTATCCTCACCTGGAAGAGGACCACTGTGGAATGCAGAGGTGTCACATTGTCTATCACCTGAAAAACTGATGTTTCCAAAATTGATACCACTAGCAGGGAAATTTACATATTTATATTTATTGTCTAAATAGTAGATATGGGGATCTATATCTTTTGTATATTCCATTTTGTTTCTTTGACTGCTTTGTTGTAACAGAGAACTACATGTTGCTACCATTGTTGGTGGCAATCCAGGGAGAAGAACATCATTTAATTTATCAGGGACATAATACATATTTGTTAAACTGGAGACTTTTCTCTCTTCAATGCAAATTTCATTGTTAGACTTAACATGTTTTGTAAATTGAATCTGGTCTAATTCCTCAGAATCAGTACTAAGAGGAATTTTTTCATATTTGTCAAAAATAAAAGAAGTACATTTTTGATTAGCAAGCTTACAGCAATTTCTTGGCAATTCTCTACAGTTGCAATAGTCTTTTTTTTCAATGCTTACTTTTTTAGTTGTTCTCAGAAATTTTGGAAAAAAATCTCTAGCTTCATTTGTAAAGCTTATTCTATTTCTGAGTACCCTGGTTTTGGATTTTTTATTTTCACTCAAAATAAAATGCAAAGTTTTCAACTTTTCCATAATAAAATCGCTACTGTTGTACATTTTGATTTGTTTCTTTTTCTTCTTCTGTTTTAATGTAACCACTGGCTTATGCAAATTTGAACATTTCCTAGTTAACTTCTCAATTTTTATTTGTGAAACAGCAGGTAAATAATTCAGTCTAAATTTTATTTTCGTCGGATCCTGTATTTTGTTGGTATTACACCGAAATGTTTTCCACAAGCAAAAGCTATCAAAATTGTCAGCTGGCAAAACCAGGCTCATATCTTTCCCTTCATTATTAAACATTGAAACAGTATTGTGTATTTCTATATCCTCACTGGTTAAAAGACAGTATTGTGTAACACATCTTTCTTTAGGTGATTTTCTTTGCTGTTTATGAAACCAAGCTTCTGTAGTTAGAACATAGGAATCCTCCTTTTTAGCTACAGTTCTAGAGAAACGCACGTTGTGATGCAATTCATAAATTATGCTTTTCATTAATGTACAGTTTATATTTTCTTTGCATATGCTTGGATAAGTTTTGTAAATTTGCTGAGATTGTGTGTTTTTGGTCCAACTATTATTCAAGGACATGTTAAATTGTATTTGTTTTCTGCAATATAAAGCATATTTTTCCACTCGTGTACATTTTTCTTCAGTTGGATGTAAACCACTTATAATACCAAAAAAAGAAGCACAATTTGTTATTGTTGTCACATTTTTATATTCCAAAAGCTTAGCTTGCAAATTAATCTGTGTATCACTATTGTTACTGTTATTACAAATACTTGGTATTACCTCTAAAATGATGTGTTGTTCTTTTGACTTTAAAATTTCATACAAAAGAAAGCAGCTTATGATAATGTCAACCTCTTTATATTTGTGCACATCTTTATATGAAGGCCATGCTTTGAAACCTCTAAGTAACATGTCATGAAAACAGATTTTTCGTTCTGATAATTTTTTTCCAGTCAATACATTGCAAATGTCTCTTGAATACAGGAAATCCTGCCCAGGATGATAAGGGCAATTACCTGCAGTTGCAACATGTGTAGTTAAGTGTGGTTTGATGTCAATTATTTTTGCTGAAGCAAGTATTAATTCTACATTCATATTATAATTAGAATAGTCCATATCATAATTTATGCTTAAAACTTCTTTCCTTAGTACTTCTGTTATCAATGGAATAGTTGTATTTTGTATATTAAATATCTCCACATTCTTACAACTGACTTTTCCCAAGGTGCATTTCAAAATATTAATAGAATTGCTACATCTTTTGTTTTGAGATTTTCCAGAGCCAATGTATGTATGAATTCTTAGGTTGTTTCGTTCTTGCTCTTCACTACTATCTGAATTTTTAAGTTTTTTCCCCTCAAAATTATTTTCAGCAAACATTAAATCACACTCAACATTATCACCATTGTACCTGAAATTAGGCAAACGCATTTTTTTCACATCCACTGCTAAAGACCCAGGAACTTGGTTATTGATAGATTGATGGTTACATTCATTACATTTTGAATGAACAGAAGAAGCATTCACAGCACTGTTATCATTTTGCAACTTTTCTTTCTCAGCCTCAGAGATGTTTTGGGAACAGTAAACCTTTTCACGTTGCATTACATATGTTTGATTTTTAATGTTTTTCTCTTGTATTTTCAAATTACTGGACAGACTTTTTTTATTTAATATATTTGACACACTAGGAAATTTACGTATGTTCTCATTCATAAAAAATTTAGAATGGAGGATTTCCAAAGTTTCTCTACTCTGAAAAGAGTTTAAGATAGGAAGTATAAATGATTTTCTTTTTCTTTTATTATCTAGTTGCTCATTATTTTCCTCTGTGGGCAGTTTTTTCAGACAATTGTTTCTGTCCTTATTCTCTGTTTCTTGGTATACAGAATTAATGCTACATACAAATGGAACATCTAAAACCTGGTGTTCTTTCAACTTCTCATCAGTGTCAATTTTCTGACTTGATATTTTCACCTGAAACAAGGCTGTGTTTAAAGATGAAACTGAAGCATTCCCTTTGAGTACATTATCGCTGTTCTTGTTATTATTTTTGTCTATATTTGTGCTCAGCTCTCCCTGGAATGACTTTATTTCATATAGACTTTTCCATTTTTTGTTAACATTCCATATGTTGTATAAGCTTGTGCTGGAAAGTTGTCCACATTCATTCAATAAAGTGTCATCTTTTAAAATATTATGGTCTGCATTCTCAGGATTCCATGACTTAGTGAACAGTTTATTTTTTAAGAGTCTGCATTTCAATTTGTCATTAATCCAAGGTTTAAAATATGTAAACTGACTTGTCCTACTTTTCTTTTCAATATCACTGCTTTCCTTTTCTAATCTCCAAGCATGTTGACTTAAATTATATGATCCTTCTGACACATATTTATTTGATGAGTTTGTATGTTCACCCACACATAACGTTCTTTGCTCTAACTGATGTTGCTCCCATTTCTCTATCTTTTTCCTACTATTTTCTATCTTAATTCGCTTTGGATGAGGGTAGCTTTCAGTTTCATCTGATGACATGGATATAAATGTCTGGCAGCATGTGCTTTCCATGTTCACGAAAGAAAATAGCTTGATAAGACAGTCCTGAAATTTAAAGAAATATGCCAACATTAAAAGTAAAGCAATTTTAAAAATATTGCATACAAAAAACCATACAAAATGAAGTGACTAAGAAATATTTTCTATAAAGCTACTGATAATTTTACTACCAGGCTACCATAAGGGAGATAAAGAAACACTTCTGTATTTATATTGACTCTGTATCCATCACTCATATGAAATAAAGCCGATGAAAGATAGCATAATGGACATTTACCAGCAAAATAAAGATCCAGAGATACATGACTTTTTAGACAGAACCAATCAAGTCCTTACAAATCAGACACACTTGTGACCATAAAGGCCAGGTACAGACATTACACTTTTACTGGTACAAGTGATTGGAAACCAGTCCTTACCCGGAACAGAACAGAAGTTCAGCACACACAACCAGTCTATACTCATAACACAACAGATGTCTGGCACACGCAAACTGGTTCAAAAATGGTGGAACCCAGACTAAGATTTGCCTTCTTCCCA